GTGGCGAGCCCGGGGATGTCCCCGTGGTCCCCCGCCGGTGTCGCCGGTGTCGCCGCTGTCGCCGGGCCGTCCCCTTTAAGGCCCCACGCCCTCAGGTGCGCACCTGGGCAGGTGACGGTGCCGGAGGTGACGGTGCCGCGCGGGCGCCATGGCCGCCTCCGCCCTCTTCATCCTGGACCTCAAGGGGAAGGTGAGACCCCCGCGACCCCCCCAAAACCCCCGGGGGACATCGCGCTGTCCCCTCTGTCCCTAAAGGTCAGCCAAGGTCAGCCAAGTGACCCCGGAGATCGCGGGGTGTCCCCCATTTGTGACCCCGCAAAATCACCCCAAACCCTCCCAGGGGTCACTCAGTGTCCGGTTTGGGGACACCCCGCTGTCCCCTCCGCCCCTAAAGGTCAGCCGAGTGACCCCGGGGATCGGGAGCTGTCCCCCATTTGTGACCCCGCAAAATCACCCCAAACCCCCCAGGGGTCACTCAGTGTCCGGTTTGGGGACACCCCTCTGTCCCCTCTGTCCCTAAAGGTCAGCCAAGGTCAGCCGAGTGACCCCGGGGATCGGGGGGTGTCCCCCAATTTGTGTCTCCCATTTGTGACCCCCCAAACCCCCCCCAGGGGTCACTCAGTGTCCGGTTTGGGGACACCCCGCTGTCCCCTCTGCCCCTAAAGGTCAGCCAAGTGACCCCGGGGATCGGGGGGTGTCCCCCAATTTGTGACCCCACAAAATCACCCCAAACCCCCCAGGGGTCACTCAGTGTCCGGTTTGGGGACACCGCGCTGTCCCCTCTGTCCCTAAAGGTCAGTCAAGGTCAACCAAGTGACCCCCGTGACCCCACGGATCGGGAGCTGTCCCCCATTTGTGACCCCGCAAAATCACCCCAAACCCCTCCAGGGGTCACTCAATGTCCGGTTTGGGGACACCCCGCTGTCCCCTCTGCCCCCCTAAAGGTCAGCCGAGTGACCCCGGGGATCGGGGGGTGTCCCCCAATTTGTGTCCCCCATTTGTGACCCCGCAAAATCACCCCAAACCTCCCAGGGGTCACTCAGTGTCCGGTTTGGGGACACCCCGCTGTCCCCTCTGTCCCTAAAGGTCAGCCAAGTGACCCCTGTGACCCCGGGGATCGGGGGGTGTCCCCCCATTTGTGTCCCCCATTTGTGACCCCCCAAACCCTCCAGGGGTCACTCAGTGTCCGGTTTGGGGACACCCCGCTGTCCCCTCCGCCCCTAAAGGTCAGCCGAGTGACCCCCGTGACCCCGGGGATCGGGGGGTGTCCCCCAATTTGTGTCCCCTATTTGTGACTCCGCAAAATCACCCCAAACCCCCCAGGGGTCACTCAATGTCCCGTTTGGGGACACCCCGCTGTCCCCTCCACATTTGAAGGTCACTCAAGGTCAGCTCAGTGACCCCGGTGACCCCGCAGTGGGGTGAGCGGTTTTGGGGTGAGGTGGGATGGGGGGTCCCCATTTCTGACCCCTCCCCCGCTCCCCCCGCAGCCCCTGATCAGCCGCAACTACAAAGGGGATGTGGGGCTGGGGGAGATCGAGCACTTCATGGGGGTCCTGCTGCAGCGGGAGGAGGAGGGGACCCTCACCCCCGTGCTGACCCACGGCCCCGTGCACTTCCTGTGGATCAAACACGCCAACCTGTACCGTATCCTTTATCCTGGGACCCCCACCCAAATCAGGGACCCCCACCCAAATCCCAAATCCCAAATCAGCCCGGGACCCCCACCCACTGCAGGGACGCCCACCCAAATCCCAAATCCACCCGGGACACCTCCAGGACCAATCCACCCGGGACCGACCCCCACCTAAATCCCAGATCCACCCGGGACCCTCACCCCCGTGCTGACCCACGGCCCCGTGCACTTCCTGTGGATCAAACACGCCAACCTGTATTGTATCCTTTATCTGGAGACCCCCACCCAAATCAGGGACCCTCACCCAAATCCCAAATCAGCCCGGGACCCCCATCCACTGCAGGGACCCCCACCCAAATCCCAAATCCACCCGGGAC